TCTCCCACTCCCCCTGCTTGTGTTCCTTCTCTCGCTGTGTCTTTCTCTGTCAAATAAATAAATAAAATCTTTAAAAAAAAAAAAAAGAAAACAATTACTAACTTGATTTTGATGTCATTTATAGTTTATTTGGGACATGCAGTGTCTTTAAATGTCCATTTATCTTAATTTTCCTTCTGAATTCTTGACGGTTTAGATTCAGAATAACTTTTAAATGACATCCTAGGCAACAATTTAAACAGTAGGCATCATTTAATTGCTGTTTTCCTGACTAATCCCATAAACATGTTACTTCTGTTGCAAGTGTCATGGTTACTGGGTGGTAGGGCTTTTTACGGTGTGGGTGACGGAGCTGCTGGTCCTCAGTGGCGCCGCGTGGACTGTGCTAGTCAGGCTCCCACCTCCACAGGGGGCTGCCCCAGGCTGTTCACATGGGACAGCTTCACTACCTTCCCGCGCACGCGGGTTCTCAGAATGTGTACGCACTTACGGTTTCTATTTCCTGGTGAAGAAATTATTTCAGGATAGTTCAGACTTGACTAAAAAAAATATTGTAAGTAAAACTCAGATACTTTTCAGTTTAAGTATTTACAGATAGATATTTGTGTATTCCGTTTATAGCCTCCCCTCTCCTGAGTCTCCTCATCGATGCAGAGAGCCGGCAGCTGGTGATGGGATGCGCAAACGGCCAGGTGAGGGAAGCACAGACTTCAGTTCCAGGTCCAAACACCATCATGACTATGTGAACGCCTGCAGAGAGGTCTCTGCTCCAACACTCCCTTGTATTCTTTCTGACTGGGAGAAACTGTCGACCCCAGCAGTCGAGCCGTTCCTTTTGGGGCCTGGGCATCGGGTGGGGCTCACACTCACACGCGCCCGCCCACAGCCATCAGAAGAGCCCGCTTTATACAGTTTGAAAAATTTGAAGATAACGTGATTTTTTTTCAAAACTTACTTTTTTTAGGTGAGCAATTCAGGTGTATTCACAAAGCATGGATACTGTTCTCTTTTTTAAAAAGTTGCTGTTGAGATAATTTGGGCAAGACACCCTGTTAGGAAATAATGCAGTTCTCGCTCCCGTGTGAGTGTCCTTTGCCTTCACACGGAACACCTCGCCTCTGGCCCTTCGGGTCACCCCACGCGTGCGGTGTCCCCCCCACACCGGGCAGCCTGCAGCACGCCAGCCGGGTGCCCTATGGTTGCACCCAGTTCTGACGCTGTCTGCCTGGAGCCCCCACAGGCGAGGGGCCGAGGCCCAGGA